TTTTTTTTTTTTTTTTTTTTTTTTTTTTGGTAATGCTAATTTCTGCTGCCTTTTAATATTTTTTTTTTCAAAGAGTATATAAACATAAGAAATGATTAAATTTTCAAAAATGAAATAAAAGACCTTGATTCAGTAATATTGATACAATGAAATAACTTGTTTATAAAAATTAAAAATTTATCTATTATATAATTTTTTAAACTTTACAGAAAAAAAAAAAAAAAAAAAAAAAAAAAAAAAAAAAAAAAAAAAAAAAAAAAAAAAAATTATTAAACCTTTACAGTTATTTTTCTATTTTGTTAATATATTTATGACTTTGTAGATGCATATATTTTAAGATAATATATATTTTATAGGTATAATATGTATATATTTTTGGATTNCTAAAAACAAAAAACAAAAAACAAAAAATAAGAAATAAGAAACAAAAAACAAAAAACATAAAACATAAAACATAAAACAAAAAACAAAAATTAACATGTTAAATAATTATTTATTATAAAAAAAAAAAAAAACATTTGTACATTTTTACATCTTAAATACATTTTTTAATTTCTTTGCTTCACTAATTAAATGATCTGTTAGTTCTTGTCTTAAGTTCATAATTTCTTGAAGTTCCTTCATGGTGTTATAATGTTCTTTATACATTAAAAATAAAGCATTATTTATTTTTTCATTATTATGTATAATAAAATCGTTTAATTCATAATTTTTGCTCAAATCAACATGTAGATTATACACAGAATTTGGTACAGGAGTTATATCTCCTAAAAAATCACCACCTAGTGTTACACTATTCCCTTTTTTACCTATAATTATTAGATAAGAAAAATAGAAAACATTATTGAACCTAAAAATATATATATATATATATATATATATATTTTTATCCTGATAATTTATTATAGTAATAACAGTGAATAATAAAATTATAAATTTTATTACCTTTTTTTATTTTTGATTTACCATAGCTTTTGCAATTTAGTAAAACGAAAATTAAAGTTAAAAAAAGAATTATTTTCATATTATTTATTTTATGAACAATAAAAAAAAAATTATACTATATTTTTATAATTCATTCAATGTTTTATGATATTCATTTAAAAGAAAATAAAAATTTACAAATCCTTTAATTTTTTCTTTTTATTTCAATAAAGAATATTCTTAATTTTAATTATATGAGAAAAAATAAAAATCCTCTATTTCCTATTTTTATAAACAATAGATTTTAAAAAATATTTTTGCTTTTTTTAAAATAGATACTTCATCTTTTAATTATAAAAAAATTTTTATTATTTATCACCATTATTATTTTTTTTTTAAGTTTTACATAAAGATTATAACGTAATTGTTTTTATTTTATATCTTAAGTACTAAATAAGCACATAAAAAATATAAAATAAACAAAAAAAAAAAAAAAAAAAAAAAAAAAAAAAATTAATAAAATACTGTTGTCATGTCATCATAAAAAAAAAAAAATATATATTTTCATTTTCATTTTTATTTTTATTTTTTTATTTTTGTTTATTCCCATTTTTTAAATTTTTTTTATACTTTTATGCATAATTGTATAGTTTTTCATTTTAGTAAATCAATACATTAAAATAAAAAAGAAAAAAATTATTTTTACATTTTAATAATAAAATTTTAATTTTTTAAACCCTTTTGTCTTAAACCATAAGGAAATTTTCATTATTTTCATAAAAATTTGTACAATTTTAATTATATCTAAACATATTTACATTTATATATATATTTTTTTTTTAAAAATGAAAGTATATAAAGACGTTTTTACAAATGATGAAGTATGCTCAGATTCGTATAATCAAGAAGACCCTTTTGGAAATCCTGAATTTCGAAATATTGCCTTTGAAGTAAAATCAAATAAAAGGATAAAGGGAAATGAAGATTATGGAATTGCTGACAATAGTGAAGAAATGCAAGAAGGAATGGGAGCTGATGTAGAGCAAGTAATTGATATTGTAGATTCATTTCAATTAACTTCAACTTCATTTAGTAAAAAAGAATACAGCGCTTATATAAAAAATTATATGCAAAAAGTTGTTAAATATTTAGAAGAAAAAAAACCCGATCGCGTAGAAGTTTTTAAAACACAAGCTCAACCATTTATTAAACACATTTTAACAAATTATAATGACTTTGAACTTTATATGGGTGAATCACTTGATATGGAAGCTGGTTTAATATATTCATATTATAAGGGAGAAGAATTAACACCACGTTTTGTATATATATCTGACGGATTATACGAAGAAAAATATTAAAAATATTTAAATTTATTATTATAAAATAAATATTTACTAAAAAAATTTTAAAAAATTTTTTTTCATATTATACCTGAAAATTATCTAATTTCATTTAAGATATATAAAAATAACACTTAAAATTTATATAAAATAAAAGCACTTTATCACTTATTTTTTTAATTATTGTTTTTTTATTATTTTTACATAATTTTAAAGAAAATATAGAAATAAAATGCTAATGGAAGCATAGTATTCTTAACTAATTTTTAAAGATGTAGACATATTTAAAAAAAAAAAAAATAAATAACATGAATGTCAAGTAAGCATTCATTATAAATCCCAATTGTATTTTTCTTTAAAATGAAAAAAACACTTCCTTTTTACTGCTAATTTTTACTTTTTTTTATGTCCCAAATTATTTAATGATAAACAAGTAAGCTTTTTTAAAATCATTTATGTGAATTTTCATTTATATAAACATAATACATAATTATGTTTATTCTTATATGCATACTGTTAAATACAAAGAATACTCCCCTTGATAAAAATATAAATATTAATACATTATATTTTATAATAATGTAAGAAATAATTTATCATAGAAATGTAACACTTCTTTAAAAGTTGAATGTGCAAGAATAAAAGTATTTAAACATTTAACATTTTAAAATTAAAATTTTTTTTTTTTTTTATATATGAATGTAATTAATTTTTTATAATTTATTTTTGTAATGGCGAAAATATTTTTATTTGCCATTGGTAAGAATATTTTAAAAAACTAAATAAAAGTTCAAGAAAAAAACTTTCTTTTAAATTATAAATTATTACGAAATATGGGGTTATTTAGAAATGAAAATTTTCACTTTTATCTACTCATTATTAAGTATAAAAATAAATTAAAAAATAATTAACATTTTATTTAAACTTTAGTTATTCATACACCGTCATTTAAAAAACTAAACATTATTCAACAAATTAAAATGGTTAACATATGAAAAAATATTTAGTATATATAAAATTTTCAAATTGAATAAAATGTCATTTACTTTTATTCTTTATTAATATACCTCTATTATTTATTTTTATAAATAGTATATAAAAGGCTCTGCTATCTAGCGTTTATCATCTCAAAACAAAATATTAATAATAAAAAAAATTATCAATATTTTATTTATCAGATTTTAATTTTAACGCAATTTTTTCTTCATCGCCTTAATAGCTATATATTAATGCTGCAGTCTTCGGTAAAGAAGACGATTAAAAAAATTAAAAAAAAAAAAAAAAATATATATATTTTAAAAAAAAAAAAAGAAGCGTAAATGGTGTTGAAAAATGGGACCAAAAAGTGTTAATTTTTTTTTTTTTTTAAAAAAAATTGACTTTTCAAAAATATATATATTTATGCATATCATCAAATGCATGCATGTACAAGTATCCTTTTTTATCTATAAATGAATTTTTCGTAATATAATATATAATATTTTAATATGATGATATATGTAAAAAAAAAAAAAAAAAAAAAAAAAAAAAAAATAAATTTGAATTGTATTTTTGAATATGTATGTTTAAAAAAAAAATTTAAACAGCATAATTTTATTTAATTTTTTCAAAAGTCAAAAAAAAAAAATTTTTTCTGTTATGACAAATTAAAATTTATTGATAATTTTATAATATGCTTGTCAAATGAAGTGTTTTTATCTTTTTTTTTCATTTAAATGTATGCCTTGTAGATTATACAAGCAATGAACCATATACCATAAAACTAAGAGAACTTAAGGATACAAAATAAAAATTTATGAGATTTATTTTATTATAATTATTTTTTAATATGGAATTGTAATTTTTACGTGTGACATATTATTTTACTACCAACGATTAATTTTTTTATATCTTTAAATTTGATTCACATAAATATTTTTGATTTTTCCTTTTTTTTTAAAAAAGTATAATGAAAAAATTACTAATCTTTATTATTATGTGATAAATATGATAACATGTATCATGGAACATTGCAAATGTCTATTTACTTTTCAAGCTTTTACCTTTTATCTTCTCATATATTCTATTAATATATTCTTTAATATATTAAAAGTTGTATGCTTCAACTGAAAATTCATATTCATGAAATTTACTTTTCATATTTTAATGTATGAAATTATTTGTAATGAAATATTTTGATAGTTAAAAATTATTTGAATAAGATTAATTAAATATTATATAAGTAAATAATATTCTTTTATTCTGTAAGAATATTAATACATTAATTTTTTTATATCAATATAGTAAAATTTAGAAGTGTATACTTATTTAGAAATTGAATTGAAACTTTTTTATTTTTTAATCAATATTCATCCTTATTAGAAGTATTTGATGTAAAGAACGTTTAAAAAATAAAAGAAATTCACATAAATTTATATATATCAAAATGAATTATGTTTTTATTATCAAATATGCAGTGTTCTTAAATTTTCATTTTTCATAAAAAAAAAGTTTGGTTAATTATCTTTAAAGATAATATATATATTTTAAGGATTTAAAAACTAAAATATATTCTAAATATAATTCAAAATGTTCTTAACTGCCTAAATTCTACATATGCTTTCTAAGAGTGAATATTTTTTTCATCTCTCTTTAATATTTTATCCTCTTTTTTTCTTTCTATTTTTTTTTTTTTATCTAAAAAGAAATTGAAAAATTATGTTAGATATATGTTAATATTTATTTCATTTTTTTTACAAAATTTTCCTTTTTGTCATTTTTCTATTTGTCCCCAAATAAAAATTTCTCCGTTAGACAATGAACAGAATATTTTATTGTTATCTAATAAAACGTTCTACAAAAAAAATTAAAGAAATTAAATACTTAAATAATTCTAAATATTATCGTTATTTTCTTTCCTTTACTTTTATTGGATATTCGTGTTTCAATGCCCTAACAAACTTTTTTTCCAATACATCAAATCTAAAAAAATGAAAATTTAATAACTTCATGTTGTTAAAAAATATTTAAATATCAAACTTAAGTTATTTTACATTTTTATTGTGTGATCTTCTGAAGCTATAAATAAATATTTATTGTTTTTATCCATTGGGCATTTATTTGCACTTAACGGACCTAATTGACAATGCGTTAAAAATAATAATAAAAAGAATATAAGATAAAATAATAAAATATAATTAATATTTTAAAATACATTTATAACAAAAAAAAAAGTAAAATGTATTTTGTGCTTAAACCTGCATCTATATTAATAAAACACTTATTTTTGCGTATGTCCCAAATTTTAACAACGCCACCAGAATCACAAGAATAAATCCATTTTGCCTATATATAAATGTTTATATTAATAATTATTTTATCTTATTCAAAAATTTTTTTTTTTAAATATTTTTGCTTATATATTCTCTTAAAAATAATTACATCTGTAGTAAAATCAGCATGGTTACATGGAAAATGGTGACCATAAAAAGTATTTTCACATAACCCACTCCTCATATCCCAAATTGATATCTAAAAAAAATATATAGTTTATCTTTTTTATTTTACTAAAAACATATTATATATATTACTGTTTATAAATAAAATTAGAAACATTTTTCAAAATACCGTTTTATCTACAGATGCGGTAACAAGAGTACTAAAAAATGGGTGATAATTCACAGAATTTACACTATCAACATGCCCTCTTAAAATTTGCCTTTGCCTTAAACTATTTATATCAAATATCCTAATTGTTTGATCCATCGACGCAGATGCAAAAAAATCACCTAAAAATTTTTAAAAATAATCTTTATTATATACGTATATTTATGTTTATTGAAAACATAAATCCTCCAAACTTTACTGAAGAAAAATTATATATTCACATGTAAATGTACAAAACTATATCTTATTAATCAATTTATAACCTTCATAATGAAATGACAAGCTCCATATAGGTCCAGTTGAATTTTTAAAAGTATGAACACATTTTTCTTTAATCATATCCCATAATTTAATTTTAGAATCTCCACTACACGTGCATAAAATATTTCCTTCATTGTTAAAACATAGATCACCTATCCATTTTTTATGGGCTTGTGAAGCCATTACTAATTCATAATTTATGCTACTCCATGTTTTCCATTTCCCGTCATCTCCTCCTGTTGCTAATAAATGAACTTTATTATTATATGCAAGACCTAATACAGCCTCGTTGTGCGCATTAAAAGATTTTTCAATAGATAAAGAAGAAATAGATAGAATAAAATTTTCCCTATCTTCATTTTCAGTTAATTCATAATTAACATTTTCGTTCTTAGGCCATGGGGTATCTTCTCTTTTTGAGCATAATTTTTCTAAATCCTTTTTATTTTGTTTTAAGTTAACATTAGATACATCACTGTTATTTTTTCCTCCTGAAGAAACGTCTATTATTGAAGTATTTGATTTGCTGCTTCCCAATAAATCTTTGAGTCTTAGAATATACTTATTTAATCCTTCGATTTTATTATCTTTTTTTTCTTTTTCTAGAATGATAAGCATTTTTTCTTTAATTGCAAACTATAAAAAAATAAAAATAACATATAAATATTTAAAAAATAATATAATTTATATTCATTTAAATTGATTATATAATATAAATATCCTTGCAAGTCGTTAAAGTATTTATTATATATATATATTTACTTCATATTTGCTTTTTATTTCACTTAGAGAAGCTTTAATTTTTTCATTTTCTTTTTTTTCTTTATTTATTTCTTCTATTAAAAATAAAAATTGTTATTTTAAAATGCTTTTAAAGCAAAAATTTAAGAATTATTTGTTTATAATAGAATTTTCAACATAATGGACAAATAATTATAAACAGTACTATTCAGAGTTTCTTTCTCCTGCAAAACTCTCTTATGATGCATTAAATAGTAATCTCTTTCTTTAATTAATTTTTGAATTTTTTTACTGATAAGAAAATAAGTAAAAGAGCAAAAAAAGATCAATTATTTCAAAGTTTATGTCAAATTTTTTTCTAATTTTTTTTACGTTGAATATATACTTTGCATCTTCCAAAGAATTTTGAGTTTCCTTTGCTAATTTTTCATTATTCAAAAAATCATTTCTTAGTAACTCATTTTGAGTAAATATGTCTTCATACTTTTCTTTTCTCAAATTATTTATATCATAACCAAAAATTTTTATACACTCCTTCTAATACACAAAAATATATACATACTTTTTTTTCTAAATATAAATTTTCATGAAAAAAACATTTACACAAGGATCATTTACTAAACGGAGAAAAAATTCAAAAAATAAAATATAAGAAAATTATAAAAAAACATTATTAAATAATACATAAATATCAACCAACAGTTTAAATATATAACCTCAAATGTTTCTAGAGATTCTAAAAATTGATGTTCAACCATAAAATTATGTATGAACAATAGTGTCATAGGTAAATGTTTTTCATCCACAGGAAAAATTTTTGAACTTTTTTCTTATTCGAAAAAGCATAAATAATATATATAAATGAAAATACCATGGAAAATTATAGAATTTACATATTTTCGTATATTTTATGCTATTCAAAACTAAGAATACATATATATACTTTTAAATGCGTTCACAACAAAAAAATAAAAAATATTAATTTATATAAAAGACTATTTTATTACCTGAAATTAATTCATTTTTATTAAAGCTTGAAATATTAACTACTTTAACATTTTTCAATAATTTTTCAAAGTTTTCTGAATTTTCACTCTCAGATTCTAAACTTGATTCTAAATTTGAATTTGTTTCACATCTTTCTTCAACTTTATTATTTTTATCATTTTTATTATTATTTACATCCTTTTCTTTATTATTTATAATTTTTTCTACTAGTGATGTTGCGTTATATTCATCATTTTCTATATTTTTTGTTTCTATTTTTTTGTCTTCTGTAATGTTTTCCTTTTTTATATTTTCCATTTTTAAATTTATTGATTTTATATACGTCCTGATATATGTTCCATAAAATATTATTAAATTTTAAAAATATAAAATTTTTATATATAATATTTTAAATTCTTTAAAAATATGTTTTATTGAAAATATATTATCCTCATTTTTTTTTTTTTTTCTAATAAATTTTGAGAAATGATACTATATATATAAATCCATTTTTTAATTTTTATTAACCTAACTTTTTCCTTTGTATTATAGGAAGTGTTTATTAAATTAATAAAAAAAAAAAAATATTGTTAAATATGAGAATTAGTAATTTTTATACTTTTTATTAAAAATTTTCTTAAATAGTTTAGTAAATTATATTTTTTTTATTTCCAAATTTCTAATTTTGTAATTCCTAAAAATAATTTACTCATTTTTCTTAAAAAAAAAAAAACAAACGATAAGAAATGTGTAAATATATAATTTATAAATACAATAAAAAGATATAAAAAAGTGTGTGCAAAATTCAAAAATGGATAAAAACAAGATCTTTATTCTAAAAATAACCTATTACTAAATAAATAAAAAAAAATATATTTTAAAAATTAGTTAAAAATAATTAAAAGTTTTATCAAATAAAACAAAATCTAATACTTTTAAATCTTATGTCTTACTACATGACATTAAAAATTGACATGAAAAATTATTTAAATTGAAAAAGCAAGCTCCTTTATTTTTTTTTTTCCCCTTTTTTATCTTTTTCTTAATTAAGGGACTTATGTCATCACAAATACTAAAATGTTGTCTTGAAGTATCAACTACTTCACTTACTTGTTTTATACTATCTCCTGTCACCTTTGTATCCATATCTTTTAAAGATAAAGAGTGAATTTTTTGTAATTCATTTTCACAATTAACATATATAGAATTCTCTCTATTTAATTTTGTATCAGCTGTGATATTACAATTATGAAATGTCTTAATTTCCTTATTAATTTTATCATTTTCCATTATCCATTTGCCATTTGGAAATTTTCGATTACACTCATGTTGTATTATTGGATTTACTACACTATTGTGTTCAACGAAATTAATATTGTAATTGATTATTTGTATTTTATTTGAATATAAATTATTTATATTACCAATTTTATTAGTTAATTTTGAATCATGTTTACCTTGAAAATCTTTAAAGTCTCTATTTTTTATTATATAATTTGTTGAGTAATCATAATTTTCTAGAATGTCATTTACTTCATCCGTAGAAAAATTTTCTAAATTTGAATATTTAGAATAAAAATTTCTTTCAAAAAATTTTTTCTTCATGATTTTATTATTAATTTGAGATTCAAAGTTATTGTTATCAAATAATTCCATATTACACAGGTTTATGTTATTACTAAAACTTATCTCTTTATTATATTTAACACTTGCTTCTTTTTTGTATATATCTTCCCTATTTTTTAATTTTGTTTTTTTTTTTCTTGGGGAAAAAATGTTTGATATTTTTGAATTTTTTGTTAGGATATTATTATGTTCAATTTTTAATGGACTTAACACACTTGAAAAAGCGTTTTGAATTATACATTTCTTAAATTTATGAGGAAATACAATTTTTTTATTTTCTATGGAAATTATAGCTTCATTATTTTCATTAAATATTTTATCCATTTCATTATTTGATGCTTTATTTTTAAATAACAATGAATTCATTCTTATATATTATATAAATTATAAAAGTTATATACATACTTATTTTCAAAATAAGAGACATGTATATTTAGAAATATAAATCATCAGAAAATGAAAAATTAAAAGTATATTCTTTTTTTATAAAAAAATAGATATTACAATTTTTTACAATAGAATATAATTAATTGACAAAAGACATGAATAATTTTTTATTTTTCAATTATATGTTATTTTGAAAAAGAAAATATAAATAATAAACAAAATAAAATTTAAAAAAAAAAAAAAAATTCAGAAATTAACTATTTTGATTAAATATTATTAAATGTGTACTTTTTAAGAATGTTTCTCAAATATTTTTGCTAAGACATATTCGAACTACGTGAAATATGTGCAACACTAATTTTTGTGTGTATTAGGAATTATCTCTACCCAATTTAATAAAAAATATATACACTTTTATTGGACAGATTAAAATATAAAAATGTAATGTTTTATTTTTTTGAAAAAAAATAAATTATTCTTAATGTAAATATATATTAACGTTATTAACTTATCTCCTAATTTTTTTATGTTCCCACTAAAATTATTAGATTTGATTTTTCTTTAATTTATTTAAATAAACAAATATCTTTTTATTAATTTCCTATTTATTTTTATTGATTATAAGATAATAAAAAATATTTTTTACAGTTTTTATATGAAAACAGAAATATTATTGAACATTTTCCATGATATTTCAATATCTAAAAGAAGAATTTAAATTTTTTGTGTGACAAAATGATATATTCATGTAACTAGAATAATAATCTATATATAATTAAGATTAAACTTGCTGTTTTTCTAAATTCATAAGAACTATGCAATTAATTTTGTTAGAATTTTTTTTTAGCTTAATTTTGTTATGAAATGCTTCAAAGACCTATTGTATATAAAAAAATTATAAATTTTGAATTTTATTTAATTAAAAAATATGGCATATCTTCAATGTAATTCATACAAGAATACTATTTTTAATAAATTCTTAATAATTTCTTATTCTTTATGCGATAACAACAAAAATACATATTTCTGTAAATTGATACAAAAGTTTTGTTTATATTTTAGAAATAAATTTATAGGTTAAATTATTAATTTTTATAAATACTTTTATCTTTTTATTTTTACTCTAAGAAAAATGTCATTTTTTTTTAAATAATAAAAACTATATTACACTTAATGAGTGTTTCATCATAATAATGCGCTATTGTTTTTCTTTTGTATGTGAAAAATTTCTTTAAAATTAGATGAAATTTTTAATTGGAGTTAAATTAAAATAGACTTTATTTCAACTTTTTAAAAAAAATAAAAAAAATGATTATTGAATGTTATTCTTGATAGGAAAATTTGCAAATAATCTTGTATGATTAAATTTTTTAGAAACAAAAATTATATGTACATAAACTTATCATTCATCTGGGGAAGTAGATAAAGTAAATGTTATTAAATCTTTGAAATAATACTTAAATGAAATTACAGAGTTATAAAAAAAAATAGAAAAAAATGTTTATAGTATGAAATTAAAGGTTTAAATAATATGTTATTTATTATAAAAGACGATGTACTGAGTCCATGGATGTAGACATATTTGATATTTTTTACATTGTATTTTTAAAAGATATTATTTTCTTTCCATTATACAATTTTTAGAAAAATAAAAAATTGCAAATATCCTATTTTATTTTATTTTCCGAATAGAATTTATTAAAAAAAGTTTTCATTTTACTATTTGTAAACTCTTCTCCATGTACGAAGCTTGGGATATCTTAAAATGTCCTTAGTTATAATTTATTAGTAAGTATTTCTTTAGTATAATTATTTATCATATTAAAATTTTTATGACAGCATTTGGAAAAATATAAAATTAAAATGCATTATTAGATTATTATATATATACGACTATGTATTTTAGGAACTTTTAGAAAACTATTTTTGGATAATTTGTTCAAATATAAATTTTATTGATTGTATTATTATTTTTAAGTTATTTATTTTGAAGTTTTTGTTAAACTTCCTATACTGTTTCCACATAGAACTATAGAATAATGTTAAAAAGTTATAATATATGCAATGTTATTATTAGTAAATATTTTGATAAAAAAAAGTATTAAAAATATCAAGGTGAAAAATTTATATGCCAATACATCAACAAAATTATTGTCATACCATAGAAATAATATTTTTGATATATTTTTTATCTGTACAATAAACTATGCAAATATTTGTCTTACTATAGTTATATTTTTTTTTACACTTTTAAATTTTTTTTATTCCATCCTTCGTAATAAAGATGTTTGGGAACAATTAAAAAAAGTATAGTATAAAATATCTATTGTTTCACCAGTAAAGTCCTTAAGTATGATATACTTTTTATGAGATATTAAATGTTTTATTCAGTATTTATTTTGTTTCGATGAATAATAAAATATGTTTAATTTATTTTATATTTATTAATTGTATTAAAAAATGAATTATGGAATTCTTCAATTTGTGGTTATTATTTTTAGAAGTTGCATTTCTTTTTGTTATCATAAAACATATTAGTTTCTATTTTTCTAATTATATTATTATCTTTTATAGATATATATACTCAGTGATTAAATTTATACAATAATAGTTTGAAAATTTGGAGATGATATTTTAGAGAGACAATTTAATAAATTTAATGAATGGTAAATGAAAAAGAAAAGAACTATTCAAGATTGTTTTTAAAAATTTGTTATCACATAAGTTCTTAATTATGTAAAAAAAAAAAAACATTTAAAAATAAATTAAAATTAATATTAATTTAATAAGTTACTAGTCAAATCAAATCATTAACACATCTTACACATAGTAAAAATACAAAAGAAATTACAAAAACAATAATTTTTTGATTACATTGAAATATAAAATATTTATTCTGTAACATATAAATTTTTTTTATTCATTTTATTGTACGTTATTCAACATGCTAATTTTTTATTTTTCTTCATTAACCAAATTTTTCTATAATGAGTTTATTTAAATTAAATTTACAACATCCACTGAATTATCATTACAAAATATTCTTAGCATAATTAAAAATAAACATATATTAATTCATCTGTGTTGAAAATATGAAATTTAAATCCTTCTTAGTAAAAATTTTATTCTCATATTATTAAAATTATATTATTATAAACATTTCCAATTAATATTATAAATTAGACAATTTTTTTTTTGAATTTTTATTTTAATTTAATTTAATTTAATTTAATTTTAATTTAACTTATTTTAATTTATATTTTAATTTAATTTAATTTAATTTATTTTAATTTATTTTAATTTAATTTAATTTAATTTAATTTATATTTTAATTTAATTTATTTTAATTTAATTTAATTTAATTTATTTTATTTTGTTTTATTTTATTTTATTTTAATTTAATTTAATTTAATTTAATTTAATTTAATTTAATTTAATTTAATTTAATTTAATTTAATTTAATTTATTTTATTTTATTTTATTTTAATTTATTTTATTTTATTTTAATTTAATTTATTTTAATTTATTTTAATTTATATTTTAATTTAAATTTAATTTGTTACTCTTAAAACTAAATAATATTTAATTTATTCTTATTTTGTTTTTTATAAATTATTTCACATTATGGTAATTATATTATATTGATATAAATCATATAAAAAATATACAATTATTATTATTGTGATTAATTAGTTCAATATATTTATTATATAGACAATTAATTAAATTATATCTAAATTAGATTCTTATTTCAATATAATGACATAAACATTTTTTAAAATTTTTTTTATTATTTATGTTAGATAATAAACACTATTTTTATTTGTTAGCATATATTATATATTCAAATTATTTTAAATAGTTAATTAATTAATATATATATATATATATATATATATATATATATATATATATATATATATATATTTGCATTATTTTTAAATTTTTACAAATAGTTTATATTTTAATTTATTTTATTTTAGTAAATTTCATTAAGTTTTTATTAATTTAAATAAATAAATTCATATATCAATTATATTTATTTAATTTAATTAAATATATCCATTAATTTATATTTTTAATTGTGTAATATATGTGATATATATAATTTTTTTTATTTATTTTGTGAAAATATAACTTAATTTTTATGTAAAATAATTATACATTTTTATTTAATTATTTATTTTATTCATTAAAATTCGATTAAATATTTATTATTTATGTTATATATATCATTTAATTTTATTTAAATATTATATTTAACAATTTATTTATTATTATTAATAAATATTTTATAATGTAATATATTATAAAGGATAAAAATTAGTTAAAATATAATAAACAAATATACTTAATTTTAAATTATAATATAAAATTTAATAATTTGTTATTAAATATAAATAAATATATATATGTGTTTAGATTAAATTAAAATATATATATTATTTACACCTTTTAATTATATTTATTTTAATTTTATTTAATATATATTTATTATTTCAATTTTTATTTAATATAATATTAATATATTTCCTATTAAAATATAATATATATTTATTCAATTTGGTGTACTTATTATTGTAATTAATTAATTAATCTGTTTATTTGTTATTTATTATATATTTATTATATTTCACATTAATTTATTACATAACATTATATTCATTTTTATATTTTTTTAATTTAATATTTATTTATCCACTAAATTAAATTTAATTATATTAATATTTTTATTATTAGTTAAAAAAATAATTTAATATAATATTTATTTACTAATTTAATTTAATTTAATTATCTTAATTAAAAATAATTTCAATTTAATATATTATTTATTTATTTTTATATATTTTAATATTTATAATTTTTTTAAATTAAATTAATTATATTAATATTTTTGTTATTAATTAAAAAACAATTTAATATTTAATCGTTATTTTAATTTAATTATATTAATTAAAAATAGTAATAATTTAATATAT